CCGGGGCGGACGCTCTTCCCCGCGGAGGCCCCGGGCCCCGGCGGTGAGCGAGGCCGGTAGGTTTGCGTGGCGCTGGAGCGGCTGCGCCGTCTCACGGGGTCTGCGAGTCCGGACTTTTTCTAAGCTTGTTTAGAATAAAATCAGTCTCTCTCTGGTCTCAGACGCCACTTGTTAGAGCCTTTTCTCCTCTCGGGACGTTGGTCCTGGGCTCCGCGGGGGACGGTCACTTAGTAAGTCAGGTAAATGCCCCACCGCCGCTGTGCGCCCGAGACCAGTAGGGTGCAGGGCGGGCAAGGGCGGGTTCGTAACTGAGTGTGAGGCGCATTTATTCCTGTGTTATTATTTGTAACTATTGCATTATTTTCCGTACAAACCACTGTAAACCTCCTTTCGCGCACCCTGTGTGACTGTCAGCCGTAGTGGGGGTGGCAATTCTGGCAGATGCTGTCGCATTGAAAGAGTTGCTTGCATGCCAGGCACACTCTAAGGAAGGGTGAGAGTCATATTCATAAAAGAACACAAAAATCACTGCTTTTTAGAAAAATTAGGAATTTTTGTAATACATCTGTTAAGCAGTTTATAACTTTTCATTGCTTTAAAAGATAACCTTTTCTGTTTTCCTTTTTAAAATGTTTCTAGTTGATTTTTTTTAGAGGGAGATAGAGGCGGAGCGGGGGGGAGAGAGAGAGAGAGACAGAGACACTTGATTAGTTGCCTCTCGGGGGCAAAACCTGCAGCCGGGGCCTATGCGCATGCGCCCTGACCAGAACCGAACCCGCCGCCTTTTGGCCTTTTGTTGCCGGGACACCGCCCAACCAACAGCCTCACTGGCCAGGGCCAAATGATGATCTTAAATTGTTTCACACACTTCTCAGGAGACTTTAACTCCATTTTATATCTTCGAAAAATAGTATAAATGCAGAGGTTGGAACATGCGATATGTACATTTATTCTACTTTTCACGTCTGTGTAGCAATTCCAGTCTGATGTCAGGCTCCAGTGTTATTTAGCAGTGTGCTTAGCACCTGAAGCATTAATATACCTGTTATCATTAATGTCTCTTACTGAGGCTTCCTACCTAGAATTTTTGGGTGCATGGAGCTGTTTTTTAAAATTTATTTAATATATCTTCATTGATTTCAGAGAGAGGAAGGGAGAGGGGCAGAGAGATAGAAACATCAATGATGGGAGAAATCGTCACTGACCAGATGCCCTCCCGCGCCCCCCACTAGGGATCGAGCCCATAACCCAGGCTCCTGGCCCTACCGGGAATATTGAACCGCGATCTCCTGGATCCTAGGTCCATGCTCAACCCCTGAGCCACACCCGGCCGGGCGGAATTTGGGGTTCTTAACACAGCGTAGTCAATGATTCTCAGGCTAAATTGTAATCTGTAAGGTCAGGGCATAGCTTTTATCTTTGTTTTTTATCCTTTCAGTGCTAGCCATTTAATTGGTACTTAGTAAACAATTGGAGTTTAAGGGGGCAGGCTGTTATTTTGTTAAATTCAAGAAAAAGAAGGTGAAGTTTATCTGTCCATGTAGAATCCCCTCAGTGCATCATGGTCCCACTTGTCCAGTGTCAATGCTCAGGTTCACATCCCAGCTTCTCTGTTTACTGGCTATAACTGCTTTGGGAAAATTATTTCACATTATCTGTACCTTAGTTTTCTCACCTGTAAAATTAGGATTCTAACACGAGGATCTCACAGGGTTGATGGGCGGGTTTAGTGAGCATAGACTTGAGAAACTTCTAGAAAAGTATTGGGCTTATAGTAAATGCTGTGAGTGCAAGTAGCTGTTAAAATTGGATATTTCTGACCATTTATTAAATGCCTCTCCCCTCTCCCCCAAATTTAGGAGCTTATGGCAAAAAAAGTGGCCGTAGTAAAAAATGGAGGGAGATGCTGAAGCTGCCCACTGTTGGCCAGAGCAAGGTGCTCAGACATTCCATGGGTGAGTAAATAGAGCCTGCTGCTCTGGAGGTACACCTGGTATTATACTATTTGTTAGAAGTTATCCTTTTTTGAGTTACTTTCTTGTTTCAAAAATTACAGAGTAGATTCTCCTTATATATTCATGATTCTTCCCAGGAAGAAAACCTTGTAGGTTTTCTAATCTGAGTTATAAAGTATATGGCTATAGACGTGAACACTGTTAACTGTTTCCCAGTCTCTTTCCACATAGTTCTCTGTGCATATGGACAAGAATTAGTGGTAATACAGCTTCGGGAAAGGATTAGTCAGATGAAAGTGTGATGTGTCAGTGTAATGGAACACTGTGCCGCTGTAAGGAATGAGAGTTAGGTTAGGTCCTGGTGTGAGCACGAGAAGTCAGATGTAGAGCCATGTCTGTAGGGCAGTCATAATTGTATTCTTTAAAAGAGATGATTTTCAGTTGAAAGGATATGTACATTCAGAATTTTTATGTTGACAGTTACTCTCCAAAGAAGTTGTATCAATTTATTTTCTTGCCAACAGTATATGACAAATTCTCTTTCCTTATGATCTTGTTAACATATTAAAAAATTGATATTGTTTTCAATATTTTTAATAAACTATAATTTGAAAAATGGTCTCTTGTTTTAATTTTGGATGGGGTTGAGCATTTTTGTCAAGTTTTTTTTTAACTTTTGCTTTTCCTACCTCATTTGTAAAAGCTCTTTATATATGAAAGGAATTTATCTTTTTATATTCAATGTGAATATATTTTATATTTCTGTTTTTTGGCATACAGTATGTTTTTCCATACAGAGGTTTTAATTTTTATGTGGACAAGTATATCAATCTTCGTCTCAGTTTCTGAACTTCGTGTTGTGATTAGGGAAGACACCTAAGACTTTTTAAAAAATCAATCCATCTTTTCTCTAGTACTGTTACAGTTCCTTTTAAAGAAAGTTTAGATATTTTAACTATCAAAGTTAATTTCAGAGAGTATAAAGTGGAGGCAGTTTCCCTCCTCCCCCTGCCAAAGACCTATTCAGCTGTTTCAGCCTTATTATGTGTTTACAATAGCAGCTTTATTGAGATATAATTAACGTGCCATACAGTTTACCTATTTAAAGTATACAATTCGGTGGTTTTTAATGTAGTCACAGAGTTGTGCAACTATTAACACATCAATTTCACATTTTCACCGCCTCAACGAGAAGCCCCATACTCACTGCCAGTCACTTCCCATCCCCTCCCCCCCCCCCCCCCAGGCAACCACTGACCTGCTCTCTGGATTTGCCTTTTCTGGGCATTTCATGTAAATGGAGACCATACACTATGTGGTCTTTTATGACTGGCTTGTTTAATTTAATAACAATGTTTACAAAATCCATCCATGCTGTAGCATGAATCACACTTCACTTTTTTTTTTTAAGCTGGTTTTTAATTTTTTTATTATTATTTTTAAAAATATATCTTTATTGATTTCAGAAAGAGGAAAGGAGAGGGAGAGAGAGAGAGAAACATCAACGATGAGAGAGTCATCGATCAGCTGCCTCCTGCATGCCCCCAACTGGGGATCGAGCCTGCAACCCGGGCATGTGCCCTGACTGGGAATCGAACCCCGATCGCTTGGATCCTAGGTTGGGGCTCAACTGCTGAGCTACGCCCAACCGGGTCTTAATTCACTTTTGTTGGCTAATAATAGTCCATTGTAAGGATATATTGCATTTTATTTATCTCTTCATCAGTTGATAGACATTGAATGGTTTTGATTTTTATGTCTATTAATAATACTGCTGTGAACATTTATGTACAAGTTTTTTATTTTGGTAAAATATACATAAAAATTACCATTTTAACCATTTTTAAGTGTAAAATTCAGTGGCATTAATTTGGATTCTGTTTGTTCATCCTTTGATGGACCTTTGGGGTGTTTCCCCTTTGGGCTCTCGTGAGTAATGCTGCTGGGAATACTGGTGCACAAGTATTTGTTTGAGTCCCTGCTTTCAATTTCTTTTGTGTGTATACCCCGAATTAGAATTGCTGAATAATATGGTCGTTCTATGTTCGACTTTTTGAGGATGTGCCAAACTGTTTTCCAAAAGTGGCGGCACCGTTCTGCATGCCCACCAGCAGTCCATGGGGGCTCTGGTCTCTTTGCATCCTCACAGCACCTTCTCTCTCCCTTTCCGCTCTTACTGTGGCCCTCCCAGTGCGTGTGGGGAGGCCCCTCCCTGTGCTCTGTTTTGTTTTTCCCGACTCGTGATGTTGATCATCTTTCCATGTGCTTACTGTACATTCTCGTGGAGAAATTCCTTTTCCAGCCCTTTGCCCAGTTTTAAATTGGGCTGTGTGTCTTTTCATTGTTGAAATGTATTCTGGTTACTAGACCCTTAGCAGATGCTTGCCTTTCTCCCATTCTGTGTTTTCCTTCCCTTTTCTTGATGATGCCCATTGAGGAACACAAGTTTTTATCCACTTGACCTACTTTTTGTTGTTGTTGCTGTGCTCTGACGTCACAACTTACACCTTTGCTTCCTGCTGGGTTTTATTTCTTACATTTAGGTGTTCGATCCATTGGAAGTTAATTTTAGTGTATGGGGTGAGATAGGGATCCAATTTCATTTTTTTAAATGGATATCCCATTGTTCCAGCACTATTCATTGAAATGACTGTTCTTTTGCTGTTGAATTGGCACCTTTATTAAAAATCATGGATATCCCGTTGTTCCAGCACTATTCATTGAAATGACTGTTCTTTTGCTGTTGAATTGGCACCTTTATTAAAAATCAGCTATGTTTAGCTTTTCGAGGAACTGCCAGACTGTTTTCCAAAGCAGCTGTGTCATTTTACATTCCCGACAGTGACTGAGGAGGACAGTTCCAGTTTCTCTGCATCCTTGTGAACACTTGTTGTTTTCGTGATTTGCAGTTTCCTTAATGGCTAAGGATGACACTGGGGAGGTGATGGGAGGGGCAGGGGTGTGTAGTCCTGGTGGAATGTCTATCTTACCAGAGTTATGAAAGTTGCTATCACATTTTTAGCAGAGGAATGATATAACCGGATTCACCTCGAAGGGTCTTCCAGGCTTCGGGGTGAAGAATGAGATTGAGGGTCGGGAGTGAGACAGGAAGGCCTCACGGGGACTTGCCGCTGTGCGGGTGGAAGTGGTCCCCATGGGAGCTGGGTTTGGGTGGTGGCGATGGAATAGACTGATGAGAGAGATGTGGGACCTGGAGTCCAGTTGATTTATGTGAGGAAGGAGGGGGGAGTGCTAAGGATGACTTCCAGGTCTGGCCCATTCAGAGAGGGGCTGACAGTGTAAGGAGCCTGTTTGGATGGAAGGTGTACATTTAGAGCTCAGAGAAGTCTGGGCTGTAGATAGGAATCGAGGAGGTATCTGTAGATGGCATTCAGAAGTCACAAGCCTGGCAGTGGATAAGGTCTCCCTGTAGACAGCAGAATGTGAAGAGGGGTCTGCCACCCCACCAGTTTAACTCTGGCCGCTGCTCTGCAGTCCAACCAGCCCCTCCTGTCCTTCTGCCAGTTTCCCAGTGCCGCC